GTGGCCAGGGAGTGCAGTGGAGGATGGCCCGGGTGCTTGGGCCCTGCACCCATGGGAGACCAGGAAAAGCACCTGGCTCCTGGCTCCTGCCATCGGATTCACACGCGGTGCGCCGGCTGCAGCGCGCTGGCGCGGCGGCCATTGGAGGGTGAACCAACGGCAAAGGAAGACCTTTCTCTCTGTCTCTCTCTCTCACTGTCCACTCTGCCTGTCAAAAAAAATAAATAAATAAATAAAAAAGAGAGTATCCTCTTTCTAAGATTTTGTCAAGCTGATTTGATTGGTGTTTAGACCTATTGAATCTAAATAGGAGATTATTTTAAAATCTAACCATCATAAAATCTTTTTAATAATTTTTTTATTTTTGTTGTATGAGTAGGGAATAGCACATAAGAAACTAATGGTATAGCTGTGGCTTTTATTGTAGAACAAGCTCTTCTGGATCAAAATTCTCAAACTCCTCCTCCAAGCCCTTTCTCAGTACAAGCTTTTAATAAAGGCGCAAGTTGCAGTGCCCAAGGATTTGATTATGGACTTGGAAATAATAAAGGTAGGTGTTTGAAAGTGAATCTTTATACCAATTTTTTTCCTGTTCACCCACAAATCTTTATTATATTATAATTTGTTCTTAGAAAACTAATTTTTACAGTGTTTATAAAGATTTTTTTTTACGATATTTCTTTTTACGATATTGCTTTTATAACTTTTAGTTTACTTTTTTGGGAGTTTTTTTAAATTCTAATTTATTAGTTTATGTCAAAGATTCTGTGTCACTAAATATAGTAAAATAAGTATTATTTTAACATCTTCCTGTTATTTAGGAGAGTAATATTAATGAACAACAAAGAACTTTGCCAACTGATCCATTTTAAATCAGAATATTACTTTTAAATAATATCTTAAAATACTGTTACACATGAGATTTCTTAAATATGTGTGTTTTTGAACATCTAACCCAGTTATCTTAGCTAATTTAAAATAATATGAAATTGTATGTTTGAGTTTGGTATATATAATGAAATCAGAAAGTTGTAAGAAACTAAACCTTAGGAATATAAAAGCCATACAGCAGTTTTGCCTTTATTAATTGAAGAGAACAACATCAAAGACAATCCCAACACTAATTATTTTGGAGAAATAAATACTTGATATCATCCCAAATTTCACTTTTCTATAAATTCGGGCACACTTTTATTCTTTGCTGTGCTCCTGATCACTTTTTCAGTATCTGCCATATTGTCAGTAGGTAGCATAGAGCTCGGTGATGGGTAGCTTACTTGGGAATGATTTTACTGCATGTTTATTTATATGAATTCACAGGACTTGAATTCAGGAAAAAAATACCATGTCATTCTATTTGACTTAAAGAACAATTGAAAAAAACATAAATTATATCAATATGTAATAAATATTTAATTGAAAATAAATGTTTTACTGTGGGATATCTTCATTACTTCCTACAAAGTTCTTTTCCAAAGGAAACATAGATGCATGGGTATGATCCCGCTCACTTCTGGTAGCTCTGGTTTCTGTTAATTTAACCCAGGTCTTCGTACTTGTGCAGAATTAATGCTCTGTTTTCTTTATGTCCTTTTCTCTCTACTGTTGGTCAGCTCTTAAATTAAAATTTCAGTGTTTACTTACCACTACTCTACTTCTGTAGTTACCTGTTTTAAAGCCATGTTTAATCCAAATTGCATGCTTTCAGAGCTTAAAATATCATAGTACTGATGTCTCTCAGTGTCAGTCAGTCTTTAAAATATAATTTTAATTGTTAAAACATAAAAATAAAATCAGTTTTCAAGAGAAATAAACACTGCTGACAACATTTGTTATTAAATAAAAATAATAAATTATTAACTTTTAAAAATGTGATTTTGCCAATAATCAAAAATGGCATGCATTTGTTAATAGGCTTTTAAAAATATTTTGATGGAGCAAATAAGTGTTAACAAACTCAAATTTGATTAAATGTATCTAAATTTTATTTATTTATTTATTATTTTTGATGGGCACTCCCATTGTTTTAACTTTCTCCTATCCAAGATCAAGGAATTATTTTTGTGCAAAGTTTATTTTTAACCTTAAAGCAATATTTTATTAAACTCTTTATAATCTAACTATTCTATGTAATCTACAATACTTATTAATAAAAAACAAAAGTAAATACCTTGTACATATAGTTCTTTCCATTGAAAACTGTCCCATTTGGTGCTTCAGTTGAAGTGTTCATTTATGAAATTTTATATTTAAGAAATATGACTGGAAAACTATTGACTAGTTTCTGCATCAACTTATCTGGAGATGATTTTCCCCTCTTTAGCATAATTTAAATTACTTAATTTACATATCCTTATAAATAAAGAATTATCTACCC